TTAGTGTCACGCCTTTGCCAGATTATCTAAATTTTCTTCCTATTTCAAACTATCTCTGCATGAAATGAATGATTTTGAGGAAGACAGTAAGTAAAGTCGAATTTAAAAAATTTCGCGCAGAATTAGAATGCAATAACAGACATGGAATATTTCGCAAGGATCAGTATTATTGATGCTTAACTAATCAATCAACTTGTTAAGATTGTCTTCTGACATAGAATTGTTTTTCGAATTTCGAACTTCAAATTCAGTCGCATAAAAAAGTGCTTTGGTGCATTGACGATTATTAATAGTTGATTAAATTGCACAAAGAAAGCTGAGCGAAACATTGCTTACTTGATTCCTTATCATGCTAGATCATGCTTAATGAAAAGTGTTATTTAAATTTTTTGCTGAAATCTATTTGTAACATTGCTTAGTGGTAAAGAAATTTCAAGAAATTGTACTGTCGCTGATGATTAACAATGGTGAACAGAAAAGCCTGAAGACCGACATTAATGAAAAATAAAAATTTTTAACTGAAGATATTGATGATATTCATTGATGTAAGTAATGTGAATGAAATAAAAATTTTGTAATTGAAAGGAACGCCACTATTAGGTGAAAGGGGAACATATTTATGGATCGGTATATCGGTATCAAACAATGTTGACAAATGTGGTAGTAAACAAAAGAAATCCCAACATACAAAAATGAACACAATTTTTACAGTGAAAAATTAATGACATTGAAACTGCGCTACTTTAATCTCTCATTTTGATTTTGCATGTTTTTTTTTTTTGAGATAGAATTTTTTTCTGGACTATTCTTTTACATAATTTCAATTTTTTTAAATCACTAATCCTCTGACTTGTGTTTAATTGGAAGTAAACAAATTTTTAGGAATTCAACGTTTGACATGCATGCAAAGTGTATTATCATAACAAGAGATATGATGAAACATTTGACAAATAATATAATTATATCACTCAGTTGGCCTATAAGTTAGTTGCTAGGTAGCACTGACTTGTGTTTAAATGGAAGTAAACGAAAAGAACAGTTAAATCGACATTTTTGAGATTTTGAACAAATATGCGATTAACAAACAGATTTTTCACAAAATAATGGTACAATGAAAGCCAACTTTACCAGACGACAATAACGCATACAAATTTAAAAAAAGTTATCAAAATGGATGTTTGCTTTTTTTTGAATTACTCGCAATTTAGTAAAACCCAACCACGATGTAATTGCAAAATACATTTTAACTTCAAATGTTCCATCTAGATTGGTAACGCTCTGAGATCAACTACATTTGATTTCAAATTCCTTAGATTCAGAGCTTCCTTTACCTAGCATTGAAAGCGGCGATTTCATTAGTCGTAGAGAATGTTATGTTTATTTAGAAACATACCAAAATTTCAGGATTTGGACTACCTTTATGATTACTGCCATAGTTATATGTAAAAGCTTGTGAAGTGATCACTTACTGTTATCATGATAAGCTCCTTCAAATTCTTGCATAATTCTACTTTTGAACTAGATTTTGGTATATTGGATTCATTAATTCTCGGGTTTCCTTTTTCTTCAACACAAATTTTTGATATTATCAATGTCCTTATTTTTTTACCAGTTTTTGTATTACTCGTTCAATTTCGTTTTAATGTTTCGTAACTTCTTCACTTGAACTTTATACATTCCTTTTTCATTGCAAAATTTGTTGTTAATAAAATTATAGCCAAAATTTCTGGAAATAAATTAACGAATTAACTTTCAAATAATGCTATAGTCCCTATGAAGAATTTCTTAACAATTCCATGCTGAATCTGTGCAGGCGTCCTAGACTTAGCATGAAACTGTCCACTAGCATTTCTTAATAAAAGGCTTTTGTCAAAATTTATCAAGGTTCTTTCTTTAAGAAACTCCAAAGTATATACATCTTATTAACTCCTTCAATATAAATTTTCATTATTCTTTTCTGTTCTATCCACTTCCGGTTTTCTCGTACGATAAAAATCCTTGCCAAGATGGTAAACCAATAACAATCCATAAAGGTTTTCAACTTACGCTGCAGATATTTTCTTGCTATAACTCTATTATTCTGTTAGAATGAAGTAGAAACAAGACATTCGCATTGATTGAGTGGACAACTCTACATTGGCATGCAAACTGACCGGCTGACCGGTGATGTTGTCATTAACTATATCGACACACTCTCCTTTCTGTATTTGTTGAACACTTCGATATTTCTAACAACGTACTTTCTTCCCTTTCTCCACTGTTCTCAATCCTTTTCCACTAATTTTTGAAAATTCTTTTCTTCGAGTTGCTGAAAATTTTGCGATACCATGTTTCGCATTTTTGAGTTCATCGTTCTCACCGTTCTCGAAAGCTCTAAACAGTGAGTGCTGAGTTGTTTGGTGAGAATATGAAATTGGCGATTTCCCCTTCTTTTCAAGAATTTTGAAAAAAAGCATTTGATAAGATAATCTAGTCGTGTAAAATTTCAGCAATGTTTAATGAGTTATTTTGAGGGAAATCTTTATTATTTAATTCGTAAATTATTAAAAAATTAATTGGTAAAAAAAATCTCAGGAAAAAAAGCTTGGAGACGAATCTTTTGGAGCCATTTTCTTCAAATTTTATTATATTATATTTGGCTAAGAAATGGTTGGAATATATTAATGAAGCAATAGTTTCACTCATTGACGACGATGCTAAAAATGCTTTAGTGTGAATTCGAAAAAAAAATTTTCCCAGTTTTGTACAGCTGTTATCAAAATTGGCAAATGAATGAACCTGTGACAATTCTATTTTTTGTTCGTTAATCTCCTTCTTCGCAATGCGAGATATATCCATTTCCTCTTTGTCACCAATAGTTTTCTTTTCAGCGGTGTTTTTTTTTATCCATATTCACATCGTATTGTCTGCAACTTACTGGTATCATCTAAATTAAAATGATGCTTGTAAATTCTCATATTGATTACTTCTTCATATTTTGGATTTCTTAATTTCGGAATTCATGCTGCCCAGTTCATTTTATTTGATCATAAAACCTTCATTAACATCGTTTGAGGGATAAATCAAATTGTCACTGTTTAGAAACACTGGATTACAGTAAACTTTCGGTGACCCTCTTCTCTCTCATATTTGCTATTTTTGACCGTCTAGCTATGAATGTTTTCAGCAAATTATAACTTTTTTGTTATGCGATTTTCATGTCATCTGTTGAGGCTCATCTCTAGCTCTAACTGGATAAAGATTAAAGAATTCATATATATATATATATGAAACTGAATTACAAATACATCTTTTGCTCTAAATTTCATGGATATTTGAATACTGTACCCTCCTCCGATAATATCGGAAATCTAACCTGAACTTATCGTTCTTATCACTCTTCCCATGCTGTCATTTTCTTTACGCATCATTCTAGTCATCATGGACAAAATTGTTGTTCAACTATATTATTAACTATGTGTAGTAGCAATATAGTGATTTCACTCTAAACTTTAATCGATTCATAAATTGCCTCACAGATGATAGAATTTTCCAAATAAAAGGTAATGGAATGGTGCCAATCAAGTCTAGTAAACTGTATATTCAGTTGTACAATTGTTGAAAATTAAGGAAGAAGGGAATTAAGGAGACAGTAAAGGCTGATAGTGTTTTTAAAACGAATTATCGCATAAAAAGTTCTAAGAAAGCACCAGTGTAAAATTATCGTTCTTGTTGATATTTGATTTTCACATTTGTGAAAATGTTTACTTCTTTGCTGTCTTGAATTGAACTAAATATTTTTACTTCAGTATTAGGTAACACATCTAATACTTATTACAAAATGATATTTCTTCACTTCATAATATAATCTCCATTGTCTGTGTTTTATTTGTTGGTTTGTTTCAAAGATTAAAATGAATAAGGAAACCTCAGAAAACAAGAAAAATCTCAAGACCTTGATTTTTTTCCACCTTGTTTTGTACTAGTTTGGAAAAATTTTATGATTTAAAAGTTAATTAAAAAGCAGGCCTTACCACACTATACATACGTTACCTCTGTTATTGACAGAGTTTTCAACATTTGGACTTACATCTTCATTAATTACCTGGTAATTGAAATATTCATCGACATTTTGGAGTACATTTTTACCCGTTCTTATTATGTCAGAAGTTTTTTGACAATAATCATGGAGATATTAGTTAAAGAAACTAGCCAAACTTAAATATTGTCATGCCGACCGTAATAAATAAAACAGTCAGAAATTGAACTAATAAGACAAATTTTAGTCTTTCGAGGGTTTTGCAGTTCAGTCCTTCGAGGTACGATTCAGAAAGGAATTTGTGAATCTTGGGCTTCTGTTTATATTTGCTGTGAATTTTGTTATTTTATAAATATTATCATTTTTGGATGACTTTCATGCATAGAAATCCCTAAAAAGTTAGAAAACCGAAATTTTGGAGCAGTTTATCGGTTACAATTTTTGAAATTAAACTTGCATTTCAGCTTCAATATAATGATAACACGAAATTTGGATGAGCCCGTTACTCTGTCATCCCTATCTCATCTCTCATTTTTTTACGCTAAATGTTGTTACTTGTTAATTACTCTGGTGCTAAATACCTAAAATTCCACGTCAAATTTGATGCCGTATTTCAAACATAGTTGTCTACACAATTAACTAAATTAATTATCTACTACAATTGAAAACTCCAGGAAACAAAATTTGAAATTTGAAACATGTTCATTGTGATAACTTGAATAATAAGACCCCAGGATTTTCTGCTTTCGGAAAAAGGAATGAATAAGAAAAAATCGTGGAAAAACTTTTTGCTTTTCCTGCACAAATTTTATATGCCACTTTATGTTTCATAAACATTATTCAGAATGGAAAAAATCGATAACAGAGATTAATATTAACTTAAGAGAAAAACCACACATTAAGTAAAGGTTTACTTTTTTGGAAAACTGTTAATGCTCAACTTCTAAGCCTTATTCTCATATATTTTTCGTTCAACAAAGCATCAATTCTGGGCGATCTCTAATGCAGTATTGAAGCGATACTGAGCCAATTTGGCTGTTATTGCTAGAACGATAATAATGAGTATGGTAATAGTTGAGAAAAGTAACAAAAAAATTCGATCTACTACTGTAGCCAAGAATTCCCATTCCAATGTGCATTGTCTGTGATACTTCATTGATTTTAATTCGGCTGATTCAGGCTAAAACAAGATATGTTAAAAGCCAGTAATTAGAGACTCCGTTAGAAATGAGACCAATCTCTTCCTTTCTTATAACTTCAGCTATTTCATCGAGCTCATCGTACTGTTTATCATACTGAACAGAATCGATTTCATATTGACTATTATATGCCTAGTTAAACTGAAATGCTCCTTGACAACGAAACTTTTTTTATGCCAAAAAATTATTACCTCTAAATATTTGATTCAAATTATGTACTTTTTGTGCCATTTCCTATTGTGTCTTTATCTAAGTTTGTAAATAAAGAATATGATTTTTAAAACATTTGATAAAAATAATTTTGTGTGAATTTTCTGAATGGGGGTTATGTCCTCTCACGGAGGTTATGTCCTCTCACGTCCTCCAAGAAATGTAAATTTTATTTCTATTCAGAAATATTTTGCTAATTATTGACTCAGAATTTGTTACCTTCTGTGATAAATCATTGCTTGTAAATCGTACAAATTGAACTGCACTATTCCAAAGTGATAGATTCCTCCGATCTGAGTGAACTGTAGATGTTTTTCGCATCTTTTGCAACAAAGAAGTCAATGAGTTTTCTTTGGGTATAACTTCTGATCGATCTCAAACTTTTAACTTCTCAAATAACATGATGAATAACGTGTTTAAAATAGATTAATCGTAAAGTAATGGTTAGGAGTTTCAAATAAAATATTGCTTTCGTCTAAAATTTTTGATTTCCTTGCTGTTAGAAGTTATAAATATTACAATAACTCCACCTCTGTTTTTATGTAAAATATCTTTCAGTCTGAAGGAAATTTGAGTCCAATTTTCTTTCGCTGATAATCTCTGCGCTCCCTGCTGTGCTTCTTTATTAGTTTCACTCTCGAGGATTCCTTGCATTGGTGATTTCACTGATAATTCAGTGAGAGTTAACTGGATTTGAAAATTCATTACTGGCATTACAAGAGATAATAAAAAATTATGAAAACTATCACTATCAAATCTATACTGTTTTTCAATGTGATATTTGTGATTGATCTTGATTTTTCTTACTGTTTGTTTCTAATTATTTTTTTTCAAACTTTTCAATTTTTCTCTTTTTAAGAGAGATAAAATAAAGGCAAATAAATTCACGTTTCCAAAGATTTTATACCTTTTCTTTATCCAACGACTGTACCGTATACTGTATAGATTTCTTCTTTTGTTTCAACCTTTGAAGGACATTTCCCTGTGAAAGACAACGCAAGATTATTTGTCTCATCTATTTAAAAGAGAGGCATTGTCATTCACAAGCTTTTCTGGACGTGAGACTACACTCAGAAGTAATTTATTAATTTATTTTAATCAAGGTAAACTAAATGATTCACCTCTTTTCCATTCCATAACATAATCAATTCGTATGGTGGAGAAATACACAAATAGTTGCAGATATACTTGAAGAATAATATTCGAATAAGAACAGGCGGTAATTTACCGTTTTTATGATGGCCATGAATACAGAGAACAGTGCAAGTACAAAATGTTGCTGTGGAAATGACGATGATATTTGACAAATAGAACCAAGCTAAAATTATATCAGTTTCATTGTAAGAAAGATAAATGATATTTTGATTAACCCACTTTCCTTTAGAAGTGGGTTAATTAAAGAACTATCAGTTTTAATCTTATTATATTCACTAATTTACTTGGTTTTTTCAATTGATTTTCAATAAAATAGTAAAGTTATGAGTTTATTCGTTTTGTATCTCGCTTCTCAAAAAATAGCCGTTACCTTTTTAAAATATTTATTTACAAACTTGTTGAAAAATGAGCTCTTTAAATAATAACTCTTATTAAATTTGCAAATTGTATAACAAAAAAATTCATTGCTACGATACTGTTATTAATAGTTATATTGCAGTAATGACGTTATTTAGAAGTTATTCAGAGATAAAAAACAGTCATATTACAATAAGATCACCAATAAGAGGCACAAAATCCGAAGTTGTTGGCATTTGATCAGAAACCATTAACATCAGGATGGATATTGCCAATAGGGCGGTGATACCGATCGTAATTTTTTCCGTTCTTTCATCGTTTGTTGAAGCTGGCGTAAAGAAGCCAACTATTGCCACTGAAATTGTAATATGAATCAGTGAGAAGAATCATGCAAAAGGAAAACTGTTTTGTTACAAATTTTTAAACAATCAAAGATTCACTTCTGCATTTTCCTGACTGCACTCTTGAAACATCTGCTACATTCAAAGATGCTTTTACAATTTTTAAATTAAAAAAACCCAATGTTAAAATGGTTGTCGGTATAATGAGATTGACTACGTAATATAATGGCTTCCTTCTGATGATCAGAGATCCTTCGATAATGACCCAGGGATCTTGACAACAGGCATATAGATACTACAAAATAAGAAGTACATTAAGCATTTTGAAAAATTCAGTTGAATTTTACAGTAAAGTAGAACAAGAAAAATATACAAATTAAAAGACAATTAACTTCATGGCGATAGAGATTAAATGAAAGAATATCCCATTCTTCGTTCGGTATATACGAATGCATATTAACTGCTTTATCTGTCGTATAATTAAGTAAAGCCTTACTACTTGTCCATGAACCCAGAGTTAAAGTGCAGTTCTGAAGAAATAACCATATAAAATTTTGATTAAAGGACCAAATTATCAAGAATTTCCAAATCTTTATACTTTGCTTCACTAATCGAGGCAATTTTCCATTATGTCTTTTTTATGTTATTTCCTAAATTTCGTCTTGGAGCCATTTTTTCTTTAAAAAAAAAATTAAAAAATAAAGAATTCTCTTAAAAATTTTTAAAAAATTAAAAAAAAAAGTATCTATAAATTTATATACAAACCTGATGATCGTACGGAAAATAGCGTATATCTATGCGGCAACGTATAGTGTAAAGTGCTGGATATAAGAAGAATACTTCGGCACCACACTTATCTTTCCAATGTCTACTTTTTACAGCAACATTCATGTATCGCTCACTTCCCTCACGACTCATCACCACACTATATTCATGTTTTTTCATTTCAAAATATTTTAACAAAAAGTTAGAATTTATCAAATTCAAAGTAAACAGACAACGAAGTACTGTGCCTGTTGTAGATGAAAGTATCAGGGATCCACAAAGCACTATGCGGGAGCACTGTATAGTTGATCATGTCATACTCACTAGGATTCCAATCCAGAAATTCGTCCACCCATTTCTCAAATATCAAATTCAACTTTGTATAACGATTAAAATGATTAAATGCATTACACTCAAGAAATTAGACTGGATTAAATATTTCTGTAGAAATTTTGTACATTTTTATTGCCTTATTTCAAACTGTTTAAATAATTTTACTGCTAACGAATTCAAATAAATTGTAATTGTAATTAGGTCTATCTGAAGCAAAAAATGGAAGAAACAAAGCAAAATGTATACGAATCTGACATCAATAGAACCTGAATCATCCATATATTTAAGGTCAAATACTGTGATGGTTCATCCTGTAACATCAATCGCAATAAAACATAAAAGTCACAGAAGAACATCTAATGAATTATAGTAGATGAATGTAAGTCATCATATATTAAAGAACTATAACTGAAATCATACAGACATACTAGATATATTAGAAGTTAAATAAAGCTCACTTACAGAAGTGTATTTCACTTCTACTAAAAATTAAAGAGAATTTTATTCATAACTCAACTGTTTCAAATAATTCTCTTTTTATTCCAAAAAAGAGCATAATATCAATTCTCAAGTGAAAATGTTGTAAAGCGAACCACATCGACGACTTGGTATAAACTCATACTGATGTGCACCGTTAACGATTTGGAATAATTCCCAACCGGTCGAACACTCGGATCATACCTATCATAGATAATATGTATGCTCCAATCATTTAAAATTCAAATCATTAAAACAATAAAAAAAATATTGTTTAAACAAAGTAAATTCAATCATGTGAATATCAGTATTACCTTGGATACCTTCTCGCATTAAGCATATCAAACAAAAATAATACCTCTTGGTAGAAAGTAAATCTCGAATCAATCGAATATGAGGTAACTGTTGTCGCTCTGAAATAAAATAATGCATTTCATCGCCCTTTTCCACTTCTGCAAATAGCTAATAAGTGATATTTACTTCAAATGTAATTGGTAGACCAAAAGCTATAGTTTTTTAAGGTTCTAGATTAGAGATATCTTTGACTGTACCATATATTCCTTCTATATCTCCTGAAATCATGAATAAGTAAAGATAAAGAAATCAGAATACGAAGAAATACAAACCTGAAACAGATTGATGAATTTCCAAGGAAGTCACTGAAAGTGCAAAGGTTGCAGCAAACAGAAGTAACATAGCACTAAAGCTGACCCTTGTCCAGCGTTATTAAAAGCCGGTGAGGATTTTAACTGATTGCTTCTATTCTTAGAAAAAAGATCATCACAAACAAATTGCTTCATTAAATTACCAAGACAATAGGATTATATATGATTATGTCAAAGCTTACACAAAATCTTTCATCCTTACATGGCTAAATAAAACATTTCTCTTAAATTTCTCTTAAATTCTATTTAAATTAAGTAGAAATTATGAGGCTCTTTAAAACAGCGATTTAGACTTCAAACCAATTAACTAGCAGGGTTTGCGTCAATTATATTGAAGGTAAACACTGTTAGAAGACACTTATAAAATTAGCATCTTAACTCCTAAAACACTGACCAAAAAAGAGTGGAAGAAAAAAAATTCTTTTTTTTCTGAGAAAAACTTTTTGTAATTATTTTTAATATATAATCCGGATTCTGCAACCATTGGTTTCCTTCATGAAATGAAACAATAATTTTTATCATATATCGTTGAGTTCAAATTGTGATTTTTGTTGAAATTTGTCTACCATGATTAGTTGACAAAAAATATTATAATAGGTACAGTGGTTGCGGTAGCATTTATGCACCAACTTAAACATCAGGTTTTGATGAACATATAAGTCTATTTTTGATGAAGGCATACAATTTACTTCACTTTCTCTACAGAATTTGTTCCTCGAATTAAATTTTAAAATTTTTTTATGCAAATAAAATATGCTTATGTAAAGATGTATGCTTCAAATAATTTCAACCTCAATGAATTTCATGTAAAAAACTCTGTCATTAAAAGAAAGAGAGAATCACGATACGGAAACAATACGACTGCGCGACGTCAAGTGATGGAAGATATATGTTAGCAAAAACTTTTTAAAAAATGGCATATACTATTGCATGTTGAATAGCAAAGAAATTACTCACAAGACAACTATTGGGTACTCTAATAGCTAATATAAAAAATGATCAGAAAACATAGTGACAATCATTGTTGGTAATCTTCATTGTTTGGGTTTCTGTTAGGAGATTAATTAAGAAACACACTATTAACTAACGTACAGCACATGATCCATTTTGCACCAATAGTAAAAACCCAGAGAGTTGATACCAATAGTGACAGATGTAAAAATGATGACAAACAAGATGAAAAACAGTCGTTCCAATACTTTTGCCATCCAGTCATATTCATCTCGTGCCAGCCGACGGTTCTGTCGAATACTGATCTCATCTTAAAGAAATCATGAAGATTCATTCGTGAGTTCCAGAACTTGATAGATGTACAATATCGATGAAGGATTAATAATTTGATTAATGAATAAGCGGATGCTTCTAAAAAGTTGATTGCTATAATAATAATGCTGACTGATATAAGAGATACTAGCGAAATTGCGGGTAATTACTAAACTCATACTCTTGTCTATATGTTTTTAAGCACGCAAAATTTAACAGCTTAGTTAGTTAAGTAAACGTCACATACCACATGTATTTGAAACATTTTGTGAGGGTCTTTGGGGTTTTTCCGAAGTAATAATTTTCGAACCAATATTACCGCCTTTTAATGAATCATACCGGAGACAAAAAGAAGACATAGGAGGATCCAAAATGTCTGAGATATCGACACTTTGACCAGCTAAAAAGAGCCAAATCAATTGCGATTTTAGAACCACAACATGAATGTCAAACTGATATGAAATATGAACTAACACTGACCTTCCTTCGGAGAAAGTAAATCGGTGCCGTTGTTGTTATTGTTGTAAGACAATGTGGATAGTTCGCAGAGATGTGGTTCGATTGCTTGTGTTTTTTGCCTTCTTTGTAGAATTGCTGCCTGTTTTATCCTCGGGAAATGCTGTCCTTCTTCATTTAGTAAAGTTGTTGTTTTCAGCTCTTTCTAAATACAGCATTTAATATAATATCCTGGATATTAAGTACATATGATTTTTATTATTTTACTGTTCCTAAAACTGTGCAAATGAAGAATAACATGATTTGAAATCCTTAATTCTATTTAGTTGTGTTGTTTTTTAAATTTGCCTTTAAAATTTCTTCTACAACCTGATCTTGCTTATTTTTTGGAGGAACTATACAGCGATCTTGGGATAAATTTTTGCACCTCATGCGTCTCTCTCAAGTGTTTTGGTATGTCTTCAAGCATAATACATGCGATGAACTTCATTAAGCAAACAATACGTGGAGTAAGACGACTCTTTTGACGACCACGTTTTTGAATAGCAATAATAACAGAGGATGCCAAAGTTCCAAAAGTGATAATTGTTATCATAGCCAAAATGAACCAGCCTAAAATTAGCTGAGTGGAAAATTGATCTCTTTTTAACTCTGATAATCATTTTAATTTGTTCGAAATAGACAGATAAATAAATGACTAATTGTCTGAAAACAATTATCTAAGAAAACTGTATGCTCGAAGAACTAAATATATGTCTGGAACCGATGAGCGGTATGAATGTGGATGTGGTCGGCATCTGATCGGAAATCATCAACATCAGAATAGACATTGATAATAGTGTTGTGATGCCAAGCGATACCTTTTCCTCGCGCATTCCACTTGCTGTTGATGTTCTAAACACCAAAGATTCTAAAAAAACTTTCTTGAGATTGCTAAACATATATCTGTCTTAAACTAAAGCTGAGACATCAGATTAGGAGTGGAAAAGAGCTGCGGAAAGTTGACAAGAAAAAGACATGCGTGAAAAATCCAACAATGGCGATGAGTGTTGTGATACTAGTCGGAATGATTAAGTTTATGATGTAAAATAAAGGTTTTCTTCGCAAATATAGCGTTATTGAGAGAAGAGTGTATTTGTTCGGACAACATTCATACTTCACTTCTTTCTTTTTTACTGCAAAGAAGTGCGAATTTTTAATTATATATAGAAATTGTGTCAAAAATTAGCATAATTTGCAATAATTTTCGCTCTTTTCTGGTCTCTTCCAACTCTTCTGGGAAAAAGAGTAAAGTGCACTTTTTTCTTTTGAAAATTTCTAGCAAATTTTTCAAAGCTTGCCAAAAAGTTGCTGCTTTTACGTTGGAAGCTAACTGAAGAGGAAATAGTATGCAAAGATTTGGCTTCATATGCAGATTAACTGAAGAGCTAGTAAAATTTGAAGTCATGGCCGATGAAATAGTTTCAAGAATTTAAACTTTGGCAACCAGAAATGCGAGCGTTGAACCTGCTGTTCTGAGAATATGCCAACCCTCGTTCTCAATGTAATTTGTTGTACCAACAATGTCTGAATATGCAAAATAATCAATGCCTTTCTGATCAAATGTCCAGCTTGAAAATATCATCGAACAGACCTAAAATTAATTATTAATACATGAATCAGCAAAATTGAAACTAGTATCAGAGGAAATAAAGTCACTTTAATTACTGGATTACTGAAAAAAAATGTATTATAAAATTGTCCTCTTCAAGATTTAATTGTTTCCGAAGTAATTTAATTATTAAATAATTTTAGAATGCATTTATCAAACTAAGCAGAAACAACTTAAGAAAAAACTCATCGAATCTCATACTGAATTTAAATTTGTCTTTGATTCTGAAATTATGACCCGTTCGAATAATTTCTATGGCTTCTAAATATTATTAGTTAAGTATAAATAAATCGCATCGCACATGCTATTATATTTCAGTAACATGAAGATTTCTTGACGACACTTATAACAAATAGTTACAGCGAATAGCTATTTTCTGTTCTATCATTTTGAGATTTGTTTAGAAGATAGAGGAGGCAGATAGTTTTTTACTTTTCTATAAAATACTTCCCTGAATATCGAATGGAAAGAAACGAAGGTTTAATAGACATGAGAATTTGTAAATGGTTGGATAGAGAAGTTCGATATATGCAGCGCGAATATTTTCATCGGCGGTAAGTTTCACATTCAACAACCGCCTCGTATCATCATCTTTCATTATTAGCCTAAGTTGATTGAAAATTATATGATCCTATATTGATAAATCTAACTAATACATAATATCTGTTATCTCGCTGAAACTTCAATTGCGGAACTTATGATTCTCTCTAGCAGCTGCTATATTTAGAAAATCTCAAAATAGTCCTTTCACCATAAACATTAAAATAAATAAAATGAGCAGACGAATTATATAGTGTTGTGTCGGGTAACCAAATCGAACTATGCGGTAAATGAATTTCTGTAATATTATCATAATCCTCTGGACGCCAGTACAAAAATTCATCGTACCATCGCTATAAATTTTATAAATATTTAGAATTTGATAAAACCTTTTTCTGATGGGCAAATTAAGTACAAAAATTCATCGTTTCAGTTTCTGCTTTTAAGAGCTATTGAATTTTCTATTTTATTTCACTTAAAAAATGCTTTTCAATTTCTTATTTTATTTCATTTAAAAAATAGAAACTTATTTAATAGAAAATCCATTAACTCATTTAGTAATTCATCAAAATGAAGATTCAAAATTCATTTGCTTCAATTAATAAATTCAAAAGCTCTGCGATGGCATTAGAAGTTGCTGCATTAGAAGTCAGGAATAAACTTACTATTTGGAACTGTTTAAATTTATAATTTGCAGTAAAAATATTTTGCTTTCACTTCTTTATTAATATCAGCTTGAACACATATAATGTAAGATTATAATTCAGTTAATTGCAAAAATTCGAAAGCTTTGCGAAGATGTAAAATTTCCTTAATCAAATAAAAGCTAAGTTCAAGATGATAATTATCCAGAGTTATAATCAGACTACTAACTTATAATCGCCAATTTTAATTAATAAAAATGACACAGTTGCTACTAAGCTGTAAATATTCTGTAATTAAATGTTACAAAAGAAATGATTAGAGTTTAACAAAAATTTTCATTTTAGATGGAACTCTTATCAGCTAATCGTTTAGCAATGACATCGCTTCTTGCACTTTTGTAAAAAACTATGAGGAAAAGAAATTAGGAACATCTCACTAGCAATAGGTGTCAATGAGAGTAGTTGAAAGATTTTACCCACAAGAAAGGACAATTAATTATCCATTCACATCAGGTAGTTTTTGAAAGTAATAAGATGACTTAATTGATATTTAAAAAAGCAAAGTTATTCAATAAGTATGGAAGCCAGAACACCATTCATCACTAATAGAACGACAAAAAAAAAAACAAAATTTTGCCTAAATTTACAAAAATGAATGTGGTTGCGCAATAATCAAAAACCTTTTTTGGCAAGATTTTCAAAAGCCATTCCAGAAATGATTTGCTTTTTGTATGTTAATACTTTTCTGTTCTAAAAATAGTAAATTTTGAAAATTTGATAGCTTTTTTTTGAAAATGTTGAAAATTTCAAAATTCACAGAATTAAAAAGAATACTAGATAAAAACTAACCTCAATTATCCAAGCATTGAGTAAAACATATTGCTGTGGCTCATCCTAAAAAATTTTGTATATTGTTTTACTTTCGCTAGCAAAATGAACGATATGGTGTCTTATTCTGCCAGTTTCGTGTCTTATTAATTGAAGTAATTAATATCTTATTATAAAAACCTTTTTTTGAAGATTTTTTTAATAACTGTCATACTTTAACGTCATATTAATTCAATAAATTATCTCGAAAATTCAATATACAAGCAGAATTAGAGGCGGATAAGAAACATGATATCTAGTGACAAAATAAGGTGCAACAAACCACTTGTAGTATTTGATAGAGATCCATGCTAAATGTCACATTAATGGATCTGCTATGATCCCACACAGGTCTCGACTTCTTATCATATGTTTCTAACATATCACGCACTAGTTTCAATTGTGGTGGTAAATAATTTGAGATTGCTTGTAATGCTGCAAATATTTTAAATATAAAAACTTGATGTTTCTCAAAAAGTTATTTTTCAGAATAAACTGTTGTTTAAGGCCAAGCAGTAGTTACTGGTTCCTTAGAGATAATAAGTGTCGAATCCTATTTTGTTCGAGTTGTTTAATTCGTTTTTGAGTTTAAAAAGTTCAATTTTTTGGAACACAATATGAATATTAATGCACTCAACATTATGTAGTATTTCAGCATTCTTTTAATTTAATTCATAGTTACAAAAAGCAGCAACAAAAAAGAAAGAATTTGGAGTAAGACGAGATCCTTATCATGCCAGCATATCGTTTATTCAAGATTTGCTTCGACACGTTTCTGACAGGTGAACTGTTTCTTGTTTTCTTTGTCCAACTAAAGGATATATGCGCAAAGGATTAACAATCCTATCTTGCAAAAAACGGATTGAAACTTTGAAGATTAAATGAACGTAGAGAAAATAAGCTCATGAATTGGTGTCCCCTCGAACGTTGTCAAAGTTTTTTATTTCCTTTATTGCTGCAATCGCATGACTAGAAGCGCAGCGGAGAATTCAACTAAAAGCGCCCGGCTACCACGCTCATCTTCTCAAGTCTATTTTGTAATTTTTTGAGCTCAGAAGAATATTTAATACATAATGTAAAGTTATGAGATTAATAGGAAAGTTGCGATTATATTCCAGACTAATATATATATATATATATTTGCAAAGTAAAATTCTTCATCTGTTTTCATAAATTTGAATAAGATAATATATTTGCTTAAACATACTTGCAGTTAGTTGTAAAAAAAAAGCAACAATAGCGTATTTTTCTGGTAGCATAGTTTGTAAAGCCTTATTTCTTATTTCTTGGCTAAAAAATCAGTTCAATGCCATACTGTAAATATACCTGAAAAATTATGTCAATTAAGTTTATGCAAGAAATAATACAAATTATGCAGTTACGTGAAAATTATCTGCACTGAGGATTAATTTGAAAATCTTTGAAAACTAGATAGAGATAAAAGAAAAACAGTACTAATTTCAATCATTATATCAGTGCAAATTGAGACCGAAAAAGACGAATACTTTATTCTTTAATTAATCAATAACTCCTTAACGTTTGATTTCAAAAATACAAGGCACATTTTTATAAAAATCTTGATCATTTGCATCCATCACATGATAAAGAGAAGTTTTATGCAATACCATCTGGACAATTATCAAGAGTTTATTGATATTTCTTCTATTTGTCAAATATATATATGTTGATGAACGAGATATGTAGCATGTAACAAAGTTTTAATTGTTTCTTAATAGCTATAATCGAGACTTCAATATTGCGTCTATTTTCTCTTCAAAGCTTTGACATTGATTTTGAGCCGTTTTTGGACGGCTCAAAAATTTTTTCACAACTAGTGTTAGCGTAAATGCTCAAAAAGTAACCGTTGCATGAAAAGATGATTTATCAGAATGATTTATTATGAAATTGTGTTAAAGGTCCAATAAGAAAGTGATTAATTAATTGCTTGAAATATTATAATTTACACGCCTGTTATACCTATTCAATGCTTCATTTTAAAACAAAAAAATTTACTTAATCGTCTACAATTATCTGTGTAATAAAGAAAAGGAGTAGTGAAATTTAGAGTATAAGATTCACTGGAATAAAAAAGATGCAAAATAAAATGAATGATAAACCTGATGATAAAAAATGCAATTACAAATTTCATCTTATCACTTAACTGTTACATTTGCAGGGAGTGTGTGTCTCATACATCTTTTTTGCATGTCCTCGGCAATATGAATAAGCAATGATAATGATTTATAATGCAAAGATTGATGCAACGATATCTGAACAATTCGATTAATCACAACGAATGAAAAATGAAATAGAACAGGGGCATCTGAGAAAGTCTGATTTGGATCTATTCGGTTAGTTTCCTTCCTTGGCTCTGTTTCGCACTTATTTTCAGTCACTTACGCTCAATATTACTCTCCGTATTGCAAAAGTTCAGTATTACAAAAGCATTAATGAATTGTTGTGCAAAAACAATATAATCGCTCATTCTCAACTATCATTTATATGAGCTTCTTAAAATACTTTTTACGGCCTATAAACATTAGCTATGTTTATAATCTATTTGGGATCTTTTCTACCACCGCTCATCTTCTACTTGTTTTCATCGATGACAGAGATGAAACCGCCGCTTCCAACTATACGCAGTTCGATATCAACCAAATATCTTCTGCAAAGCTTGCTGTACGACAGTGGCTCATTTCTCCTATTTGTATCATCATATTGTGAATAGATTCCTAATGACTTAGATGAGTCGTTTTTTACCGCTTCTACAAAATAGATTCATGTATGTCATCAGGTATGACGCTCTTAAGAAAGAAGAAGAAGTCGTAAGCTGCCTTGTTTGACAAAGACCACATATCCTTTTATCCTTTTTTTTTATTCCGGACAGAAAGTAATCCAGATAAGAGCATGCATTCATATAATTCATTTTATCCTCAATCATTTAAATGTTTTAAAAATCTAAATAAGAAAAGAAATTTGACACTTAGTCGCAATTTTATGCTCAATTTAACAATTTGACAGCATTTCACTAATTAAAGGTAAGCTAAATTGATTCATTTGGTACATGATATTTAACTATTCTGCCCACAACCCACTCTAAAGTGTCCGTCCTCCATTCGGTAATTATAACATCCCTTTTCATTTTCGTTAAATGAAATAAATGTTACAGAAAACGAAAACAAGACGAAGATTAGCATACCGTTTCGCATCATTGTATATTATCACGCATATTCTAACAGTGGTATTGAGTCGATAATTCAAGAAGAAAAAAGTCCGGATTTTCAAAAATAGTTCAAAATATGAGAAGACATGGATGATTTCGTTTTTGTATTCACTTTCATTCCTCCGTTTTTTTAAATAAAGTAAAAAACGGAAGATTGAAAGAACGACAAATGAAATAATAAAAAATGAAATACACAAATAAATAACACGAAGAATACCTAGCATTTAACTTATTTAAAATTTTTTAATGTTTTAAATTTTGAAGCATAAAGAAATTTTGAAGCGTAAAGAAAAGTGAATTAAGATAAAATCATTCCAAAGTGTAAAATAAGAAAAATTTTGAAATGAACGACATTAATTTTAGTACTTCAAAATTTTAAAGTTATTATTAATATTAGTGAAATGAACGAGCATGCATAAATAATCTTCCAGAACTTTCAATATAATGCATAAATGATTTTCAAAATTAGGACACTTTCATGCATTTACGAGAAATGACTGACTGATTTATTATGAAATAAATATTTGATTTGTGTAACATTTCATGACAATATATAAAATGGAATATGTATTTTAAGAGCAAAACAGGAGGAACAATAGGAAAAGTGAATAAAACTTGTATTTTTGTTTCATTTGCTTTGAAAGTTTCAAGCAAATTTTTAAGTGGAATTAAAAATCCTTAAATGATTGAAATCAGCATTAAAGAAAGACATCGACGATAAGCTTGGTTTCCGACTAGTATTGTGAATAATGACGAAATTCATTTAAGCACTTGAGTTCTACATTAACATGAAAATATGTTATAGAGGAAATCCATCATTATTTTTATATTTTATATAAATACGCACTACTCTAATTCAGATGTTCGTATATTGCGCAAGCATTTAATAAACTTTATTTTACTTCTCAATCTCAATCAGCACTTTTTACATGTGAAAGTGACATCGGATATCGAAAAGGAATTTGTTATGCAGGAAATTCAGAGTGATTTGTCGGTGAGAAAATTTCAACATTTATTCACTGCAATTTAGAATCAAACTAAGAATACCAACATTACAGAAGAGAATCTATGACGGATCTCTATAATAGAAGTTCACATACAATAATAAAACGATAAATTACGCAGATTGAAGCACCACGTCCACAAGTACCTCTCTGCAGGGAAAGCAAGTAGCGTGACTTGTTTTTTGGAATGGTAAGGTTTAAACTGAATTTAAAGACAAGACCCGAAATTCGAGCCCTTTGATCCATTCGAGACATAAGTCGCTTACTTTAGTTCGAAATTTTAAAAGTTATTTTGGTTTTAAGATATTTGAAGAAACAATCTCATATTTCTGCACTTTGTCTAAACAGTTTTGTTCTGACTGCTAAATTGACTACGATGAAATAATGATTGGAAAACTGACTGTATCCTGAATAGCAAGGCTTACACTAAGAGTAAAATATTCGTTCTGTTCCATCTCAAAATACAAAACGTCAACTCCTTCAAAAACTTCTATGCGAGAGATTCACGAACCTCATATTTCTTCATCACCATAATTTTATCTTTTGTAACTTTAAAAGTTTTTCGGTTATTTCCTGATGTGAAACAGTTATTGGAGCAATACCAGGATTCTTTAGAAATCTGAAATTTTGGTTAGGATAACAACAGCTTATTTGTCCCTACAGGCATAATATGTTCAAATACATTCATTCCATTTCTCTTTTACTTATTTTTCACAAAACGCTGAATAAATAACAATGTTTTGTTAGATACATTGTTTCTTAGCAGTTTTCATGTGCTGGTTAATTTATAGACCGGTTAAAAGGAAAAATGCAAATCCATTATCTGTCGAGAAACAGACGGAGAGAGAACGGCATTTCAAAAGGACAAGGAAGTAAGTCTTTCTAATTAGGCACTTCAGTTTTCATCGCATTTCTTTTCTAGGTGTTTTAACTTGTGGGACTTTTAAAGTGCAGAAGCCAAACCAACCTTGCATTGAACACCTAGTCCCAACCATACGTCCTCTTCTTCAACAGAGTGTCCCCACCCTCCATACTTGCACCCGTTCGACACAATTCCAAGCAACATCCTCTCGTACATTGCATCCACTTTACTGTATTTTCAAAGAATACCTCTTCGCTCTGTGCAACCTCCAGCCGCGCCCCTCCCCCTTCTCCGTGTCGACCCTTCCCACAAGCGGTCGCATCACATAGGATCACTATGATTTGGTCGTCATGAACTTTTCAGTCCAGTGAAGAATATAAAGCCTGGGATATAGTACTCTAGAATATAAGCGGCGGCGGAAGGAAGTCAAAGGAGATGCTTCCCTGAGAGTCCAAGAATTACGGAAGAGTTTAAAGTCTGAGCTCTACCAGATATGCACAAACAGGGGAAAAAGTAATGAATTTGTCGGACTCCGCATGACACATTCCTGTTAGCGGGATAGCCCTGCCTGTAGCTACACATAGCTGCCCAAGCCTTGACTGCACTCTCCTGCCCGCTCTACTTCCAATCCTCGCGGTTTTTCTTGCCTGATCCGGATGGCATTTCACGGTTGGCCGGATCTGTTTAGTCGCCTTAGGTAGACGCAATGCAACAGAGATCACCCGTGCTATGCAAATACACGTGCCTTCCAATTTGTCAGTGTTATGCATATTGTTGAGAGTCTTTGGTTAGAGACTTAAGGATATCCATTTGGGGAGACTGACTGTATCGGAGAGGTGCTCGTGAAGGCAAACGTAATTTCTCCTCTTTGTACTGCTCGTTACATCATATGCACTATTATTTCAGCTAATGGAATTGGATGATACTTAAAATGCGATCGGAGTAGTTTGCAGGACGCGTTCCGTTTTGATAGGCGACATCTGATAATGATCCCAACTGCGCACTTGCTTGCTTTTTTCTATAATAGCGGAAGACTGTTCATTATCAAACCATTCTTTTTTCCTATTCCAGGTTAGATAGATATATACTACGTAGTATGATCTTTTGAAATGACCGGAGAAGCAGAAGATTGGAGGCCTATTCCTGACGAGTTACAACAGGTTGTGCAAC